GAGCAGGAGAGTGTGGAGGCAGGAGAGGTCGAGCCAATGGACGATGCGGTAGATGAACTCGCATGTCTTTGCTCGATGGGACGTTGCGAGGCACACATTGACATCTCGCACCGCCTTCGAATCGCGGAGCAGGTTTCCTTCTCTGAATAGGCGGTCCAGAGCGTCAGCCGGATTTGCGGCGCGTGTCGCGGCGACGGTCAACTGGTCCTTCGAAGTTGGACCGATGCCAATGTTTGTCAGGCGTTCGTGCATCGCAGAATGCGGTACTCGGTGAATGGTCCGTAGAAGCGCTTCAAGGTCCGGAACCTCGAAGGGTGCCACCTCGAGCGTGAGTTTGTCAATACTGCTGAGATCCTGTATCGCCTCTAGGAATGGTCGGCAGTCACCAGATCGAGCCTCCGCCATGGCGAGGTTTTGTAGTGAGGGGAGACTGATGGCGCCATTGATAATCAGATTCAAATTCTCAAGGTATCCAGGATCGATGCTGAGCGCTTTCAAGTAGGCGCAACGCGAAAGGAATGGGAGAAGGCCTACGACCCAACCGCGGTTGACAACATCGTGGCCCACCAGCGCCAACTTCTCTATCCTCAACGGTAGAACATCCCAAAAGTCATTTCTCTGACCGGCGATGAGGAGTTCGCTATGGAGAGTCAGAGATCGGAGAGTATTTCTAGTGTATAAGGCTGTTGGGAAATGGTGTACGCCGAAGCCAAGGTTGGCGCGAGGAAAATCCAGTGCCCGTATCGCTGGCCACGATCGACCTTCGAAGTCTACCAGGCCGTGAGTACTTGACGAGAAAGACCGAGTAATCGACCGATGCTTACGTTCTGTCAGTTCATCCAGAGTATCGGCTGCGGCTGTGCCACTATGCTCCGCAGGACTTGTCGCGGAGAGAGACAAGGGCATTGACTTCGCCCGCTCGCAGAACGTCTTCGCCCATTCAAAGCCCAAGAATAGGTTAACTCGGGTCCACAGGAGGGGGGTCGCGAGGGCGATCCTTCTCCACGACTGGCAGACAGCCGTGATCTGCAGCCATCCGATGTCCCCGCATTCCTCGAAGTCCCAGACATCCCGAAGAAGGTCAACGACGTAAACGAACAGTTCGTCCGGCAGCTTCAGAACCGGTGCGCGCGCGTTGTATGCGACGCTGAGAGTGAAGAGCACTTTGCGAACTTCGTTCAGTTCAGCGAGTAGCGCGGTGCGCTGTTCGGGTTCGCCGGGTAGTTCTTGAAGTTCTTGCAGATGATTGTGCAAGAGGTGTTGCCATTCTGCCCGGCGCCTGGTCCGTCAAAAGCGTCACTCAGAACTAGCAGGAGGGAAGCGCGAGAATGAGAACTGCGTACCTTTGATCGGGATTCGGCGACATGGTGGTAGTGGTCCAAGATGGGGAAGCTTGCTTCTTCCTCGCTTCCGTGAGCGCTTCTTCCGGGCCGGGAGTCCCCCACAAGCGCCCATGTAATCATATACATCATCTTGAAAGTATCTGTCAAGCTCACTTCATGAATATTATGGCCGTCTTCTGCCGAGATGATTGTTTCTGACAGGCTCGGCGCGGAGACGCTCGGCAGCGTCTCTGAGCACCATGAGCGGAAACTTCGCAATGTTCAGTAGCTTTCTGCGGATGGATTGTAACATAACAAATGTCAGAACGGATGGGCCGTCATCTCATGGTGGATACTCACTGAAGAAAGCACAGGTTACAACGAACGCCAATCAGAACTATGGGGATCGCCGGACTCAGAGACGAGCTTGGCATCAGCAATTTGGGAAGCGGTCTGAAGCGCCCTGTGGGCGTCTGAAGCGGTCTGAAGGCTCTGAGCGCCATGTGAGCCCAGAGCTTTAAGCGAGCCTTCAGACGTTTCAGGGCCGTCAGACCGCTTCAGAGTCCCTCAGACGCCGTCAGACCGCTTCCCTAAAGTCTTGATGTTCTCTACTAGAGACGTCGACGTCGTCTCCACTCAGAGACGACACTGAAGTGTTGCCGTGAGTTGAGTTCGAAGTGAGTTGAGTTCGCACATCGCTCCCAACTCAACCCAACTCAACCCAACCCGACTCAACTCGGGCTCGAGCCCCAGTGGGAAACGCCAGTGCGGGGGCGTATGTCGTGGTATGACCCGCGAAACCGCGCATATGCCGGCGTGCGCCCGGACTCGAATTCGGGTGGAGCACGCACGCCAATGACACGAGCATGCAGCTCGCGGTAAACACAGCGGACTACCCGGCCCCACCTGGACTCTGCTCAGCTCAACTCAACGTGAGTTGAACTCACCTCGCGGCGACACTTAGATTCTGACGAATGCTCTGCCTGATGCCATGTCGTACCTGTGCTCGAGAGCAACCTACATGTCCGGCATCGTACCATGGCAAGACTGCAGTCCCACATCGCTCCAGTACCATCAACCTCAACCACGATCACCTTCTCGACGTCGCAGTCCTCGCGCGCAGATGGTTCGGAAGCGTGTGATGCAGCGTGCAGACGCCCGTCATCGAGACCCGACCAGAAACAAGACTTCAAAAACACTTATGATTCACGGAAAGGGTGGTGGAGATGCTACAATCGTCAAAACGTGCAGGATTGGGTTGAGTATGTAGGATTCAGGGATTCGATGAGGTGGTGAGAAGGACGGTACCGAGAACATCAAACGAGAACAGAGAACTGGAGAAGAGAATGAAGGATGAGAGCAGCGAGGCTCGGTGTTTCAGTCAAGAAAACAGACAGTCGAGACGAGAGAATGCGACGACGAGAGCACAACCTGGCAGCAGCGGCACACCCGGCCTCACTCACCACCCAAAAGCGCCCCCACCCCCTCCCCCTCCTCCCCCACCACTCGCACCCGCACCGGCACTCCACCCC